TCCAAGCCCTCATCATTTTCCATCTGAATTTTTTCAATAGCCTCCTTCCTATTCTTCCTGCTCCTAGTCTTTCTTCCAATTTGTTTCCTCTATCTTTGTATCTGAAGTACTCCATGCATTGTCAGTGATGGTAGGGATCACTTACTCTGGACAAGAGGAGAAATGACAAAACAGTCCTTCATCAGCCAGTTCTTTAGAATTAAGTTTATCATTTAGTTGATCATTTTCAATATTTTTCTCCAAGGTTCCTTACTAAATATAATTTTTATTGTATTGTGATCAGTATGAGATGTATTTAATTTTTTAAAATTTATTTGTGAGGTTTTTAATGCCTTAAAGGCATGGTCAGTTTTTGTAAAAGTGTCACACACACAGCTGAGAAATATATATATTCTTTCCCATTCCTATTCAATAATCACCAGAGAGTGATCACATCAGCTTTTCCTTTAAGTATTTAAATGTTGTGACTTGGTGCAAATTCGTGTCATATTCATGCAATAATTCATTGTCTGTGGTACCTTTCAGCATTATTCAGTTTCTCTGTTTATTTTTTTTAAAATCAAGTCCGTTTTGCTGTCAGCTTGTCTCAGATCATGATTACTACTATGTTTTTTTGAGGTAGGCTGAAGCATAGTAGATTTTGCTCTAGACCCTTAATTTTAACTCTGTGAATCTTTATGTTTAAAATGTGTTCTTTATAGACTATAGATTGTTTATTTTTTGCTTTCTAATCCACTTTGTTAACCTCTTCTGTTTTATGGGTGAGTTACTATAGTTTATATTCACAGTTATAATTATTGTGTGTTTTCCTTCATCTTGTTCTCTTATACTTTTTCGTCTCATTCCTCACTCTTTCCCCTATAAAGAAGTGGGAAGTGAGAGAGGGAAATGTTTGGAAGGCTTTTGCTTCACTAAAGGTCCATTTCTCCCACTGCAGGATTATGCTTAATTTTGTTAAGTATATTATTCTTGATTGTAAGTCTATAATTTGCCTTTTGTAATATCATATTCCAATATCCCCACTCCTTTATGGTTATAGCTGCTACATTTCATGTGACCCTTACTGTGACTCCTTGGTACTTGAATGCTTTCTTTTTAAATAGTCACAGTATTTTTTTCTTTGACCTGGAAGCTCAGGATTTTGGCTACTATGTACCTGAGAGTTTTCATTTAGGATTTTTTTCAAGAGGAGAATTTTTTCCATTTTCACCTTGCCTTCTGGTTCTAGTGACTCTCTACAGTTTTCTTCCATGATTTCTTAAAAAAATGATTCCAAACTCATTTTCTTTGGTTGTTTTTTTAGATTTCTCCTTAATCTATTTTCCAGATTTTTTTTCCTTTGAGATACCTTATATCATTGTCATCATCATCATCATTTTTAGTATTTGGACTTTGTTTTCATATTTCTTGTTGTCTCATGGGTTCATTAATTTCTGTTTGGTTCATTCTAATTTTTAGGGAGTCCATTACTTGAGTAACTTTTGAACCTCCTGTATTAAGCTGTCAATTTTCCTTTTAAATCTCTTCTCCATAGTTAGGAAGGTAGAGTGAATCAAGTACTGGACCTGGAGTCAAGAAGCCCTAAATTCAAATCCAGCCTTAGACATTTACCAGCTATGTGATTTTGGACAAGCTACTTAACCTCTGTTTGCCTCAGTTTTCTAAATAGGAATAATAATAACATTGCCCCCCCCCCCGGGGTTCTTGTGAGGATTAAATGAGGTAATACTTGTAAAGTGTTTTGTAAACTTTAAAGTTCTATATGCTATGAATGATAACTATTTGTAAAATAATTTTAAACTCTTAAGAAAACTATTATTATTGTTATTATTTTCTAAGAATTCTAGTTGACCTTGTACCCAAACTATATTTTTTTATTTGAGACTCTGCTTGTAGATATTTTCAAGTAGCTTTTCCCCTTGGATTTGTATTTTGGGCATTCTTGTCTCAATGATAGCTTTTTATCATGGTAGTATTTTGGTTTATTCAATATTCTAGCCCAGAGGTGGAAAACCTGCAGCCTCAAGGCCACACGTGGCACTCTAGGTCCTCAAGTGTGGTCCTCTGACTGAATCCAGATTTCACAGAACAAATCCCCTTAATAAAATGATCTGTTCTGTAAAACTTGGACTCGGTCAAAAACCTGCACCCAAGGACTTAGATGGTCACATGTGGCCTCAAGGCTACAGGTTCCCCACCTCTGTTCTAGCCTTCCTTCTTGAATTAGTATTTTATTATTAGGCATTTTCAGTTTTGGTTTATATTCTTTAGTATCTTGTTGCTGCTTTCTCCGGGTATTCAGTGTTGTATTATTTAAGGATATAAGGAGTGGCTCAGGATGGTGACCTGCTAACTTTCAGTGTGACCAAAGCAATCTTATCTAGAATGAATTCTGATCACTCCTCTCCTAGTCTGAGTTTGAAAAGCTCTTGCCTTAGATTTGGGTTTTAGCAACACCATTGCAGACTTGTCCCTAGTTGGGTTTCCAGTAGACTGTTGCTAGCCACAGCTCCTGTCAGCTAGCTAAAAGCCTTTGTTGGTATAGAATTACAGGCTTCCCCTTGTTCTGAGTTCTCTGCCCTGCTTACTCAACTATCAGACCCAGAGAGAGGATGAAAATCCAGTTCCTTTACTATACAGCCTCAGGCGACAGCTGCTCCCACCCCTCAGCACAAGTGCCCTCTTCAGCACTGATTCTGCGACCTAGCTCTGTGCTTAGACTATAGAGCTGGCTATTGGCTCCTCTTGCTGTTTCCTGCCCAGTGCCAGGCTCATCTCTGCTGAATCCCTGACCACTTATTACCCAAGTTCGTAGCCTGGGGCCCTCATTTAGTCTCTTTCTTGTCACCTTCCTGGTTAGTCCATGTGCCCAGATTTAGGTCTTTGTAACTATGCTGAACTGGGCAGGAAAAATCACTCACTGGGTTTTCCCCTGGGTCTTTTGCTCTTTTGAGATCTTTGTTGGAATGGTTGTGATGGAGACCTGGTCTAGAGAGCTTCTTTTTCCTCTCCCTTCTGCTGCCTTGCTTTATCTCTCAATTTAAAAAATGTTCAATAAAAGCATTTGTATAATGACTTCTGCCCACTGACAGCTCAGTTTCCTATATTCTCATCACCTTAGCTTAGAGCTGAGTCAGTTTTGCTTGGAATTGAGGGGCTGAAAAGGATCTTTAGATTCCCTAGATTTTTACCCATTCAGGTTGTTAGGACCAAGTCACAAATGAAGTAGAGATGTGACAATGGTCACGTTAAACAAACTCTGACCCTTGAGTATCAGGTTCAATCTTACTGGTCTACTCAATATTGATGAATAATAACATACTAAACAGATACGTGTGATCATCTCTTCTTTTCTGCTAATTAGGTTTCAGGGACTCCATTTTACCTACTGAGTAACCTTTGGTGTTCTTAGCCTAGAATACAAGACTTGTCACAAAATGGCAGCAGCCCTCTCAAACACTTCTCCTGGCCACGCAGCATCTGTTCAGGCTGCATTGTTCTACATTCTGCACTCAGACACATACTATAGTTTCCCACCTCTGAACCTTGGCTCAGGCTAGCTCTCCACAGAAATAGAATATTCTCCCCTTTGACCTGTTAAACTACCCATCCTTTAAAATAAAATTCAAATGCTAGCTCTTCTATAAAACCTGTTCTGATCTCACCCCCAACTGGAATGCTTTCCCCCCCCAGGTGTCCTATGACACTTTATTTTATAGCCATAGTCTAAGTATGCTCATCATGTAATATTGTATATCATTTACCTGTGTTTGAGGTCTGATCTTTCTACAAGATTGTAAGGTCCCTGAAAATAGGAATGGAATCTTAGCTAAACCTTGTATTTCCTTCTGTGCCTGGCACAGTTCTCTGTAGAAGGTTTGCACCTAAATATGTATTGAGTGATGGATGAACTTGTATTGCACATGACAGTTTCTAAGATTATTTTAGGACAAAGGGAGGCTGGTCTCTATTTTTACCAAGGACAAAATAGCGGTAAATGGACTGACATTCACTACAAGCCTGACCACATTTCCTAGAATCAGGTTCTTTATTTGCATGTCCTCTCCCAATTCACCATGAAAAACTGCCCACCTTAATGGGCCTGAGCACCTCCTCCTGTCACCCCACCTTTGGCCAACCCAGAAAGCTTATTCTCTGAAGGAAGGGAGAGACCACTTACCGATCACCCTGACTGTGACAGCCTTAGACACTGACAACTCAGTCACGTCGTTCCATGCCAAACATGTGTACTGTCCTGAATCTTCCCAAGATACGTTTTGGATGATGTAGGTGTTATTGGTGAACTCAGGGCTCACTGTGACATTGACTCGCCATTCATACTGTGCAGGTGGGTAAGACTCAACCTGACACACTAAGGTCAGTGACTGTTGGAATATGACCCGAATCTCATCTCCTGCAGGACTCAGTGAAAACAGGATATCGTCTGGTCCATCTGCGTAAAGAAGAAAGAGAGAGATGAGGTGTGAATCATTGTTGGGGAAAGGACTGGAGAGAGAGGAGGCTCAGAGTCACTCACAGTTCACAGTCACTTCAAGGGGGTCACTTCTGTTGGAACTGATTGGATTCCAGATTTCACATTGATAGGACCCAGCATGCTTCCTCGTCACGTTCTTGACGGTGAGGATCAGGTCACCATCAGACAGGTACTGCCCCTCATTTAGTGACAGGGACTTGTTATTGAAGAACCACAGAATGTTCATCCCCTCATGTTCTGTGTTACATGTGAAGACCAAAGTGCTGTTCTCCATGACGTTGGTACTGTTGGCAGTGATGGTAGGTTTGGATGCTGTTTCTGTAGAGGGAAAAAGAAGATTCAGTTGTATGAGGGATTGGCCTGTGTCTTCACTAGGTCAAGTCTTCCAAAGCCCAAGCCCGAACACTTCCACTACAGACGTACAGTAATGGTCCCTGACACCATGGGGAGGGAGATACCCCCTGGTTCAATAGTTCGGCTAATAAGGAAGGTGAGCAGGAAGCCCAGGAGTTGGAGTGCTGTGTCCTGGGCTAACACCTCCTTGAGACAGGTTCTGGAACATGCATAATCTAGTGACTAAGGTGACAATGGGAGTAGAGAGCAAGCATTTATAAAGTGTCTACTACATGCCTGGCACATGGTAGGTGCTATACAAATGCTATTATTATCCTCTTTATTATGATTATTGTTATTGTCAAGCATTGTGTTAAATACCATATTATCTAATTTCATCGTCTTGGGAAGAAGGGGCTATTATTCTTTCCATTTTACAGTTCAGGAAACTGAGGCAGACAGTGGTTAAGTGGCTTGTCCAGGGTCACACAGCAAATTTAGTGTCTGAGTCTGAATCCAGGCCTAGTGCCCTCTGTATCCATTGAGGCTATTTCCAGTCTTTCACCAATCATCTCATTCTAATCCAGGAGTCCTTAGCCTGGGATCTGCGAACTTCATTTTTAAAAAGTGCTGATAACTGTATTTCAGTAGAATTATTTCCTTCGAATTCCTATGGACTTTATTTTCTGCATTTAAAAGCATCCTTCTGAGAAGGGGTCCTTGGGCTCCACCAGCCCGACTGCCCTAGGGCTCTTTGACATGAAAGAAAGGGAAGCCCCCTGCTCCCATCATTCTGTCTTCCCCAGTTACCCCCTTAATTTACCCAGCTCCTACCAGTCTGTGGTTCCAGAAAGTAGTTAATGAACATATTATGATTCTCTCCATAAGCTGACACTTGCCTCCTCTAGGCCTCAGTTTGGCCATCTGTAAAATGAGGGAGCAGCACTAGCTGGCTTCTAAGTCCCTTTCATTTCCAAGTGTGTGATACCCTCCAGGATCCTTGCACCCACTTTGCAAAGGAGAAAATGGAGGTTCAAAGAGATGATGTGATTACTCAGACAGAGAGTGACTTCTGCTATTCCTGCACCTGAGCTCCCTCCCTCTTTGCCCAATGGTCCTCGCGGGCCTTTCCCAGACCAGGCACCTGAAGGCTCAGAGCTGGCAGAGATCAGAGGATCTTGGGTCTCCATCTGGAAGAGCCTTCCCCATCATCTAATGCACCCCCTTCTTTTCTTTTCTTCTTTTTGGCTGGGCAACGAGAGTTAAGTGACTTGCGCAGGGTCACACAGCTAGTAAGTGTTATGTGTCCGAGGCTGGATTTGAACTCAGGTCCTCCTGAATCCAGGGCCGGTGCTCTATCCACTGCACCACCTAGCTTCCCCCACCCCCTTATTTTCTTGATGAGAAAAATGGAGGCTCCCAGAGGCCAGGTGACTTATACAAAGTCCACTGCATAATAAATAACAGACCTGGGGTTGGAACCCAGGTGTCCTAGCTCTGAAGTCAGGCTCCCTTCAGTCAAATACTCTCTCTGCAGGATGTTGTTTTCCTATAAACGTGGGAATGACTGGCAGAGGGACAAGCCTGAGCTCAGAGTACTTTCCTTTGTGCAGCCCCTTCCTCAAGTGCCTCGGTGGGTACCCTGGAGGCCCCCACGGAGCTTCACTGACAGACACAGCTTCCTTCTTCCAACGTCAGAGCCCCTGCTAGGGTTGGGCTCCCTGTTAGATGGTGGAGGCAGTGCTCCCTTGCACAAAACTCCCCTGGAGAGGTGCATAGACAGGGCATCTAATGGGGAAACCTAGGACACCAACAGGGCCTTGCTTGGGGTGTGAGAAGCTTATGTTCCCACAGGGTCCCTGCAGATTTGAGCCTTATGCACTACCCCTGATCAAATGAGATGACATTTGTAAAGAGCTGAGTGTGCTACTTGCATGCAGTAGGCACTCAATAAATGCCTGTTTCCTTCCTCCTCCCCCTGTCCAGCTGTTGCTCCTCCTTTGACCACTGGGGACACAAAGAGGTCAGCAGATGCTCTCTGGCCCAGCAGAGATTCTGCAGCATCCTCTAAGGGCTCAGTAGCCTTGTGTGGGATGAGACCCACAGTCCAGCAGTCTTCCCCTGTCTGAGCAGCAGAGAACCAGAGATGGCAGGGGGCATCTGGCCCATTTCCCATAGCATGCCTGATCAGTGGTCATCTGGCCTCTACTTATCCATGACCTTAACACTGTTCAGGCCTGTCTTTCCCTGATGGACAGCTCCGCTTGTGAGGTCTCCTTATGCTATGTGACGTTGGCCTCCCTGTGACTTCCTCGCTTGATTCCTAGCTCTCCCCTTGGGAACCAGATAGGAGAATGCTGACCTGCTACCACACAAGGGCCCTTCAGGGTCCTGAGGTCTGCTTTCTTGTGCCCTCCCCACTCTGACCAATCCCTCCAGCCATGACTGAGTCACCACACTCCTGTGGGTGGATGCTCTAATGTTTCAAATAGCTATGATTTGTAGGAGGTCTTCCCTCCACCCATAGTTCTCTGTTCCTCTACCCCTAGCAAATGGACATCATGAACCTGACCCTGAAGAATCCATCTCCTTGTATCCAAGCTTGGAGTGATGGGCCTCTGCTCACTTGGCAAAAACCAAGTCCTTTGATGATGGACACCCTGGCCTCCTGGGGGTCTCTCCTGCCATACCTTGCATATGAGAACCTTGGGCCACCTTCCTGGCTCAATGAGACATTGAAGATCAGCTTCATGACTGGGCTTTTGTCCATGTCCATCTTAACATGAGGTGCTCAGAACTAAATACAGCATTTGTTCTGGGGGGGGGGCCTGTCCTTCCCAGAGCCCAGAAGGACTCCTGCTTCCCTGGATCTGGACAACATGCTGCTATTACAGCAACCCAAGGTCAAGTTAGCTCTTAGTCCAACCAATCCCTGAATCTTTTCCACACCAACTGTTCTCAGGCCTTGTATTGAGCTTTCTACATTCAGTGAATCCCAGAGCATCTCAAGATCTGGAAGAGAGGTTCATTTAGCCCAATCCAATCTAGTCTTTAGAGACCTCTACTGAAGACAAGCCCTGTATCTGCTAAGGCAACCCATTCCTGGTCTGGAACACTCTAACCATTAGGGAGTTTGCTCTGACAATTAGCCTGATTCTACCTCTCTGCACCCTTGATTTACTGCTCTTAGTTCTTTTCTCTGGGGTCAAGTACAACAAGACAAATCCTTTCTGCTTGATAACGACAAAAAGACTTAGAAACAGAACCACGGGATTTTGGAGTTGACGGGACTTTGGTGACCATCAAGTCCAACGCCCACCTGAAACAGAATCTTTGGTACATTCTACTTGACAGATGCTCATCCAGCCTCCAAAGAGGAGGAAAGGAAGGATGGGCAAGGTAAGGAGCATTTATTAAGTGACTACTGTGTGCTAGGCACTGTGCTAGGTGCTTTACACATATGATCTCGTTTGAACCTACCAACTCTCCATGAAACCATTCTACTTTGGGACAGTTCTGGCCATGAGAGAGTTTTCCACTGAAGCCCAGAA